ATGTATGTATTTTATGTATATGTATGTGTATATGTATGTGTGTATGTATATATACATGTTGTCTCCCCTCCATAAATCCAAGGTGCCCTCCTGAGGTCAAGGGATGTTTCATTTTTTGCCTTCGTATCTCCAGCATGGGGCCCAGCACACAGTAGGTGCTTAATAAATGCTTGTTAATTAATGATCAGAGTTGGGATGTGAGCCAGAGGCTGGATGTGTTAGGCTAATGTACTTGGTGCTGAATTGGGGAGGCCAGGAATGTCTGTATCCCCTTTGTGGAGTCTTCATTCCCACCCCCCATCCCCCCACAATCTGACCACGGAGGGCAGCCCTCATGTAGGAGCCCTGAGACGGGAGACTTGCATTCTCTTCCCAATGCCCGACTCTGTGTGACCCTGGGAAAGTCATCTTGCCTCTTGCTTTCTGTGCCTGTGAAATGGAGGTGTCCAGCTCCCCCCCAAAGAACATTCAGGATCTTGTTGGAAGGAGCAGCAGAGCTCCTGGGAGAACAAGGCAAAGCCAAAGGAAGGCCTGCTGAATTCTTAATCTTCCTTATCGGCACTCTCCGTGGTTATCCTCCCGAGTGCCTCCTTTGAATGTCAATGACACCATCACCAGAGTCTAAAATCCTTTTGGGGTTGGCTGAACAGAGAGGCTTTCAGCATCATTCCTTCTGTCTCTCTGTCCAGATTTGTTTTTACATTACAGACACTTACAGATTATTCCCACTTTGTAAAAAATCTCTTGCAACAAAGTAAGACAGTTAAGGAAGACTGTGGTGTGGCAGCAAAGGTCAGCAAAGAAATCTGCCCGAACTCCTCTGAAAAGACATTTCACAGAAGCAACCCGATCTCTCTCTTTTAAAAAAAAATGGATAGAAGTTGATTTTCTCTCCTTTCCACCCTCCACCCCCACTGGAAAAACCAAAAAAAAAAAAAAGAAAACAATTTTTTTGTAACTTGCTTTCAAAGACTCCCATATCTTATAGGGAGAGTGTCCATCCCTAGCCTCCCTGAATCTGAAACTGGACATTTGTCCCAAGACAAGTGAATATGGAGAAATGTGGGTGGTGGAGTTGGGGGGAGGGGAAGGAAGGGACATCTCTGAAGTGACTGCCCAGTGTCAGAGACCTTCTATCTCTACTCCACCAGAAACTCAGGCTTCACTCTGGTATCCCCTGTTGCTGATAGGTGAGCTTTTTCCTTATGTTGCCAGGGCCCAGGCCTCCCCTTCACTTCCCCACTAACTGTTCACTATGTGCCATGCCCAGGTTTCTAGATCCCCCTTTTTTAATTATCTTATCCTGTGAGAGTATAAATTACTTGAGGGTGCAGACTGCCTTGCTGGTGCAACCTGCCTGTTAGAGCTTATATTTTTGTCTCTACCACTTAGCAGATTGACTGGAATATAGTAAGAGCTTAATAAATGCTCTATTCCCCACCCTCACCCCCATTTGGCCTTACACACTTACTAGCTGTATGACCTGGGCAAGTCACTTAACTTCTGTCTGCCTTGGTTTACTCATATGTAAGAAATGGTGATAATAATAGCAACTATTTCCAAGGTTTATTGTGAGGATAAAATGGTATAATATTCAAAAAGCACTTTGCAAACCTTAAAGCAATATAATAAATAATTATTATTAATAAATCTGTCTCTGATACTTATTACTTGCATGACCTTGGGCAAGTCACATAACCTCTCTTGACCTTGGTTTCTTCATCTGTAAAATGAGGTCCCTCCTAGGCCTAGATCTATGATCTTAGGGCAGGAATTATTTTTCATCTTGTCTTTATATCTCATCCCCATACAGTTCCTGGCCTGGAGCAGACACTTCCTAAGTTCTTGCTCCTTTGAGTGGGGTTGGTTGACCTCCAAGGCATTTCCTCTGGACTCTGGGGGGAGGAGGCTGAACTCTCCTGGGACACTTGGAGTCACTTGGGTGAGCGGAAGGCTGGTGAGCCCTTCAGCACGTCTAGGTAAGTTAGGAGAAGGGCAGACTTTAGAGAGAAGATAGTAACATAGCCACGTTTCTGTTGGAATTCCTGTGGATCGTCACCTGGAGACGTTGAGCAGACAGTTGGCGATGTGGGCCTGGAGCTCAGGAGAGAGATGAAGGCTGCATGTGTAAACTGGAGGGCCACCTACTCCCTTAGCTCTGCGTGTGGGATCCCCAGGCCCACAGCAAGGGTGGTTGTAGCTTGTTCTGTTGTTTCAGTTGCGTCTGACTCTTCATGACCCTATTTGGGGTTTCCTTGGCAGAGATACTGGAGTGGTTTGGCACTTCCTTCTCCAGCTCATTGTACAGATGAGGAAACCGAGGCAAACAGGGTGAAGTGACTTGCTCAGGGTCACACAGCTAGTGTCTGAGGCTGGATTTGAACTCAGGAAGATGAGTCTTCTTGGCTCTATGCATTATGGCTCCACTCAGCACCTCTGTGCAACAGGAACCCCTCTTTTAAGTCCCTTCTCGCTGTTTCCCCCATGTCTTTCTCTTTAGCTTCCTGCTTGCGAGGAATTAAAGTCACCTCCCTTACTGAAGACTCTCTGGCCTTGAGCCAACAAAGACCTTTGATGTCCTGTCCTAATACTGGCAGTTACATACTCTACCGGTCAGTGAGGGTTGTTGGCTCTGGTTTTCTCTCTTATCTTTGACCTGTACTCTCTGGCCTGGTCAATTTTCCTAAAGGAAAATTACCAGCCTGAGTCATGTCTCCTCTCTGGGCCGCAATGTCCCCATCTGTAAGAGGGGTTGGCCAGATAATTTCTAGAATCCTTTCTGATCTAAGTCCTATGACAGATAATAGATGGGTGAATGGATAGAGAGATGATTGATAGATAGATAATAGGGTCTTTATTAAGCTCTTACTACGTCAGGCACTCTGCTGAGCCCTGGGGACACCGATACAAGCAACCATTCTCATGGGGTACGACAACATGAAGGGAAAAGAGGCAGGTGGGGAGGGAGCAGGGTCCTTGAGTGGGACCAGGGATGCTTCCGAGGGGGTGAAGGAGCCTTGACAGCTAGTGCAGTGAGGAATGAAGGGAGCTTGGTTGGGGTGGTCCAGGCTAAGGACTCATCAATCAGGGGAGCAGCCCCTAGATGGAGGCCTCTCCAGGGTGGGGGGGCAGCTGAGGAGGAAAGCCAGGAAATACACTGAACCGGGGTCTCTTTCCACTACATCCCACCTCCTGGGGGTTAGCCCCTTCTCTGCTGCTTACTAGTCCTGGGATTGACAAAAATTCACTTCTTCTCTCTGGGCCTCAGTTTCCTTCTCTCTGATATGAAAGGGTTGGTCTCGATGAACTATGAAATTCCATTTAGCTTAGCCCTAAATCCTATGATCCTAAAAAGTGACTGATCCTGGTTTTACTCGTGACCTCTGCAGCCTCGGTGACCTTGGGACCAAGTGGTCCATGGGCCTCCGAGACCCTGCGATGTGAACCCAGGTCCCACCCCCAGCTTATCTTCCACCTGACTGAGATGCTTCTTCTTGTTCAAGCCAACGTCCCAGATGGATTCCTGTTTCCAGGACTCCGTGGGTCCCAGCTCATTGGCAGAGCTGAGATAACACCACACTCACAGGGGCCAATAAACAGTGGACAGTTTTTCTGGGCTTAGTTTCTTGCTCCACCCACCTCGCAGTGTTCAGACTGCTGAGTCATGCTCAGATGCCCCCACCTCTTCCTTGGAGGACGAGGTGGATGACCTTGACTTCAGAATGAATGACACGAAATAAAATAAAACCCCTACATACACAGTACAGACTATTATAGAATTGGAGAATGTGAGAGCAGGAAGGGACCCCAGAGGCCATCTAGACCAGTCTGACAAGTGGTCATCAAATGCTGATCGAAGACCACTAGAAACAGGGTACCTTCAGGGCCCAGCCCATTCCACTTTTGGACAGATCTATTCGTTAGGCAGCGTGGTGCACTGGGCAGAGGGGCTTGGCTTAGTCATTCAACAAGCATTTATGAAGCACCTGCAAAGTGTTAAGCACTGGAAATAAGATAAGTCTCTGCTCTATAATTTAATGGGTGGGGGACATAGGGTGCAAGCAAATACGATTGCTACAGGATAGATTGGAGAGAATCAATAGAGGGAAGGCACTAGAATTAAGGGGGATTGGAAAAAGCATTTCCTAGGAGATGAGATTTTAGTTGGGACTTGATAGGCACCAGAGGCAGAGGTGAGGCAGGAGAGCTTTCTATGCTGGAGGGACAGCCAGAGAAAATGCCTGAGCCCGGACAGATGAAAGTCTAGCCAGAATCACTAGACTGCAGTGTGTGTGTGGGGGGGGGGGGGGGGGAGCAGAGTGTAAGAAGACTGAGAAGGCAGGAGGGGGCCAGGTTGTCAAGTGCTTTGAATGACAAAGAGGATTTTATCTTTTATACTGGAAGTGACAGGAAGTCAATCAAATAGAGTCACCTGGTCTGAGCTGCCCTTTAGGAAGATTAATTTAATAGCTGAATGTAGGATGGACTGGAGTGGGGGGGTGGAATTTGAGGCAGACAGACCCCACCCCTCCCCAGCAGCCACTGCAATACTGCATGTGTGAAATGATGAGGGCCTAACGGGGTGGGGGTGGGAGGCTGTGACAGAGGAAAGAAGGGGATGCATTCAAGACACACAAAGACATTCAAGACATTTAAGACATCTGAAGGCAAAATTAGATGGAGGATGGGGTGTGTGAGAGAGGTTGAAGCCTGGGGGACTAGGAGCATGGTGATGCCCTCAACAGCACTGACAACACTACCCATATGACCTTGGACAAGTAACTGGACCTCTCAAAGCCTCAGTTTCTTCAAAATCATAAGCCTGGAGTGGATGACCTTGAAGGTCCTGTCCAATTCAAACCCTGTGATCCTGTGCAGGTCTCTCCAGTATTGAGCCGAAATATGTCTCCTTACCACTTCCCCCCATTACTCTCCAGTTTTCCTCTCTAGGGATGGCAGGATGAGTTTAATCCTTTTCCTTTCAAAAGCTTTTGTGTCTTTCTTATACCACAGAATTGACACAGTGGATTACAACCCCAGCATTAATCACAGGGGCAGAGCAGCCAGAAGCCAGCTGATCAAAGTAGGCTGCCTTGAGGGGCATGGTATCCAGGTAATGGGGGGGTGCAGCTTTGCTCAGCTGGGAGCTGACCACATTGGAAGTACCCATTTTACTTTCTGAGCACCACTTTTTAGGCAGAAAACGAACAAGCTGCTGAATGTCTATAGGATGCCAAAGAAGATGATGAAGGGCCTTGAGTTCCTGAATGGTGGGGGATGCTTAGCTTGAAACAGTGACTTGGGGGACACTTGACCATTGGAAAGCCTGTCAAGTGGAAAATGGATTAACCTCCCTTTGCTCAATCCCAGAGTGCAGAACCAGGACAACAGAGAGAAGCAAATTGGGGCTTGATTGAAAGGAGAACTTGGTAACAATCAGAGCTATCCAAAAGTGGACAGAGCTAACTCAGCAGGTGGTGTGTACCCTTTGCTAGAGGTCTCCAAGCTCAGGCTGGATAACACATTGGTTCCGTTATAACAACAACAGCAACAACAACTATCTAATGTTTTAAGATGCACGAAACACTTTACAAAAATCTCATTTTATCCTTACCACAACCCTGGAAGATAGGTGCTATTGTTTTTCCATTTTATAGATGAGGAAACTGAGGCAGACAGGGGTTAAGTGCCTTGCCTCGAGTCACCCAGTTAGTAAATGTCTGAGATCAGATTTTAATCAGGCCTTGCTAATTTCAGGTCCAACACTCTATCCCCTGCGCACCTAAAGAAGATTCTTGTTGGGTTAGGGTTTGCACAAGAGCTGCTCAAGTCCCTTTCAATTGGGTGACCAGCTCTAAGAACTGTCTGGTAAATGAGCTCCAAGCAAACTCCTTGGGGCAAGGATGTGGCATGTCAAGGAAGAAGGGTGCAGACTTCACAGAAGAACTAGGTTTGAGTGCCAACTTTGCCTTTTATTTGCTGGGTGGCCTTGAATGAGTCACGTCCCTCTCTAAGCCTCAGTTTTCTCATTTGACAAATGTGTGTGCTTTAATAATGGCTAACCTTTCTAACCCTTTAAGGCTTGCAACGCCCTTTCAAATGTTATTCCATTCTCCACTCTCTCTTACCCCCATGAAATATAAGCTCTCGGAAGGCAGGGTCTGGTTCTCTGCTGTCTTGTAGCTCTACAGTGTTTGGCACATGGTAGGCATCTAGGGATGCTTGCGTACTTGATGAAAGGACCACCAGTTCCCTCATTGCAGAGGTGTCTGCCTTGTGCAGACCTGGGAGTGCAGTGGGCAGAGCTATTCTGGGGTCACATGCTTTCTTCCCTTCTGGCCAGTCATGGCCCTAGACTGTTTGGAAGAATGACATCCCTGCCTTTTACCTTTTAAGGGAAGCTGAGGAAGCAATCAGAGCAGACGGAAGTGAGGTGGCTTCCTTCCTTTCTCACGCCAACCAGAATGAGTCACAGGATGATGGATGGAGAGCTGGACAGAGCACAGAGGCCATGCAGTTCAACCCCTTAATTTCACCAAGACGGAAATGGAGGCCCAGAGACATTAAATGAATCGTCCAAGGTGGGTAGTAGGTTGCTGGAGTCCCAAAGCTGTCTCTTTGCTTTAACTCCAGCCCAACCAGCCCTACCTCCAGTACCAGGGACAGGTAACTTAGATCTGGACCATCATTAATAAAGATACAGCTGATGTTCTGGGCACCTGTCTCACAGGGTTATTGTGTGCATTGACTAAGGTAATCTTTACAATTCTAAGAATCATATAAATGCTAGCTACTATTATAATATAATAATATAACACAATATAACATACTATATCTATGTTATATTGATATAGCATGTAATAACAAAATGTTACATTATAACATTATAATGTAACATAATATAACATAACCTAACATAACAAAATAACAACACATAAAAACATGTAATGTAATATAATATACACACCTAGGAAGTTGTTCACTCATTTCAGTTGTGTCTGATTCTTTGTGACCCCATTTGGGGTTTTCTTGGCAAAGATACTGCCATTTCCTTCTCCAGCTCATTTTACAGATGAGGAAACTGAGACAAACAGAATTAGATGACTTGCTGAGGGTCACACAACTAGTATGTATCTGAGGATGGATTTGAATTCAGGTGTTCCTGACTCCAGGCCCAACACTCTATCCACTGCGCCACTTAGGAGCCAGGAAGACTTAAAGTTAAATTTGACTTCAGACACTTACCAGCTATGTGACCGTGGGCAAGTCATTTAACCCGTCTGTCTCAGTTTCTTCCACTGCAAAATGGGAATCATAATAGCATCTACCTCCCAGGGTTCTTGGAGGATCAAATGAGATATTTATAAAGTATTTAGCACAATGCCTGGCACATAGTAGGTGTTTTTAAAATGTTTGTTTCCTTCCATCTTTATCGTGGTAGTGATACTGATGCTATCTCACTCTGGTACAGAATATTGGTTTTTTTTGTTTTGCTTTGTTTTTTTTTGGTTTTTTTTGGTGAGGCAATTGGGGTTAAGTGACTTGCCCAGAGTCACACAGCTACTAAGTGTTGTGTGTCTGAGGTCAGATTTGAACCCAGGTCCTCCTGACTCCAGGACCAGTGTTCTATCCACTGCGCCACCTAGCTGCCCCCAGAGTGTTTTTTTAAATTAAATTAGGAGAATTCATTTATATGGAAAGAGCTAATATAATCACATATTTGAAATAAGACATAATAGGTATTGAAACTGAGAGAAAGGGTGAGATAGTGGCCTGGTTATTCCATATTCTAGTTTTCCAGTTAAAATAGTTTCCAAAAAATCCTACATAAACAGATTGCACATTACACTTTTATCCATCATCTGCCCTTTCAAATATCTGCTCAACATGAAAAAACAAAGCAAGGAAAGGCCCCAAACAACATCTTTTACTCTTGAAGGCATGAGGTTCCTGAAGGCTTTCAGCAGAGCCCAAGCCCTAGCAGATCCTGCTAAGCCTGAAAAGCTCAGGGTCTACTTTCTGAGCCCTCAGTTAGCTGTGGGGTGATGTTCTTGAAGACCGTGGGTAATAATTAGAAGAGTTGCAACCTGCATCAGGGGATTGGGTATTCACATCAAGGAGTTCATGGATGCTTGAAAAATTGAGGTGTTGAAGGATTTACAAGGAGCCAAGGAGCATGAAAATAGAGACAGAATCAGGGCCGGTGAATGCTTTGAATGCATTAGTGTGGAGAGGCCAGTGTACCTGCTTCTAGGAAAGTGGAGAAGCTTTGAAGTATCCACACATATTCTGTAACTGGTTCAGGCTGGCTAACCATGTGGAGAAGAGGATGCCTTTGGACCTGCTACCAAGGCATCCAAAAGGCCTATCAGCCTTGCTCTCTTCAGCCTCCTGTATGGTTGCTTGATTACTTCACTTATGGAGTCCAGTGGGAGAAAAACCTGCCCTGCTCTGGGCCTTTTCTGCTCTGTGACCCTGTGAATTAGGCCTGGGTTCTTTCCTGCCTCATCTCCTATTCTTCCATTGTAGGTGAAGGAAAAGTAGCATCCCAACATCCTACCATCTGACTTTTACAGCCTGCTTAGCATCGAGGAGAAAGGAGGGACCTTCAGGTCCCAGCCTTGAAATGGTTAAGACTAGGACTCATCTAGTATTGATGCTGAATTTGGGCATGAACTTGGTGCCACTAATGATATGTAGAAATTGAGCTATGTTCGAGGCTGCGCCAGGAGAGGAGAGAGTATATCTTAGAGAGGTTGGGGGGAAATCTTTGTTCTTTTGTTTTTGTTATATCTTGGAAGGAAATGCCCTTTTGAAAAAGCTTCTTGATATTAAGGGGTTAAATAGAACTGGGAGGCTCTTCATTGACCCTTAAAAGCATGTGGAGGGGACCCATCTGATGGGAGCTTGATCCTATGGCATGAGAGAATAAATACCCTAGAGCTCATCAGGGCACACCTAGAGTCCCAAGGGGGCAGATGTAGCTCACCTAGCTCTGGACTTGTAGACCCAGAACATACTTGTTACAGAGATATTTAGAAATACTGCTCCAGAATAAGCTCATGAGAGTTTATATAAAAGAATATTACCTAGTCCCAGATTGTGTGTGTGTGTGTGTGTGTGTGTGTGTGTGTGTGTGTGTGTGTGT